TTTATTTATTTATTTATTTATTTATTTATTTATTTATTTAGTTTTTGAGATATTATTTATGATGCATTTTAAGCGGAAGTTAATTAACTACAGATCTTTCCTTCTTTTAAAATGGCTGGGAGTCCTAACATTGGCTTCAAATTTTTTAATCTTTTGAGAACTCAGAATATTTTTTTAAGTACCATTTTTTTTAATATTTTCCTGCACAATTTTATACTTTTTACAAAAATAGTTTCGAGCGGTTATGGTAGGTTATGGTGACAGCCCCTAGAGCGCCTTACTTATAGTCATTAGTTAAAATGTCCATTAAGTTACCACATTGTAAAAAAACAAATTTAACTAGATACATATATTTTTTATAAATAAATAATTTAAAACTATTAGACTTGATATTTTTCAAAAAACTTCAATTCTCAATTTCCTTGAGAAACATTCCGAAAACCTTTTGTGTGAAAGCTGCGAGTATAATCTGCTAACTTTTTGTATGACACCGACGAATTCACGAATTGACTATTCGTTTACCGTTATAACCTCAACTTAAACCTGACTAAATGTGAGTGAGTGACTAGACAACTGACTGAAATCATACTCGTTTTGAAAGCGAGCACTTTAGTTGCCTTAAAGTAAAATACAAATAAATAGGAAATAAATCAATAAATAAGTATATTAATTAAATAATTATCAAGCGCCAAGTACTTATATATAAAAAAAAAATCAATTAAAGAATAATAATCAGTAGTTTTTTCATCAAAATTATTAAAANTAGTTGCCTTAAAGTAAAATACAAATAAATAGGAAATAAATCAATAAATAAGTATATTAATTAAATAATTATCAAGCGCCAAGTACTTATATATAAAAAAAATCAATTTAAGAATAATAATCAGTAGTTTTTTCATCAAAATTATTAAAATTTTTTTTTGCTTAATTTTATACTAAAATATTGTCATATAAAGATAATTAATAAATTAAAAATTATGTTCAAATAAATAGTTTCTTATACTAACAAGCACATGAAATAAATAAATACATACCAAATACCAAATACCAAGTGTGTCTCACTACCCTATTCACTACCCTAATCTGTTTTCCCTATCACTAATTTTTGGCACTGTTGCATACTTTTTGGTATCCCCGAATAAGCCTACGAGCGAGTTCCTGAGTTCCTAACTTGTGTTAGATAAAATCTTTTATAATTACAACTAAAACTAAATTATGAGTATCGCTTTTGAATACTTGAATATCCAGTCAACTCTCCAGTTCATATACTTATTTAATATTCACCCATATGCGTCGCCATTAGCGCCGACATTTGTTGCTGCTGGTGTTGCGCTTGTATCGCCATCTCTGCGGCGCCGTAATGCATCTCTTCCAACTCATCTTCATCGCCACCGCTGCCACTACCCAAGCTGTCGGTGTAGTAGTATGTGGGCGCAGCATTGAACTGCGGCTGCTGGCGTTCGCCTGGCACATTTTCATCATTGTAAGCGCCTTGTTGCAGCCGTTGCATGTGTTGCTGCAGCTGCTGTTGACTGAAACCGCCCTCACCGTTGATCATCGTGCCGGAGATTCTTGTCGACGACGTCGCCGCCGCCGCCGCCACCAAATTTTCCGTCGACGATGTTGGTGATGCTGAATTGGGCGACTGCTGACAACCGCCCTGCAAGTGCTTACCCAGCAGTGAGATGCGCGAAAATGACTTGGTGCACGACGGACATGAATACTTCTTCACATCCGAATGCGTTTGCATGTGCGCGCGCAAATTTGAACGATCGGCGAATGCGCGATTACAATGCTGGCAGCTGAATGGCTTTTCGCCGGTGTGTGTGCGTATATGACCCTGCAGTAGCCAGGGGCGCGAGAAGGCCTTGCCGCAAATAGGGCATTTACAGGGTAGCGTATGTGTACGTATGTGCATCTTGAGCGCCCCCAGCGAGACGTAAGTCTTATCGCAGTTCTTGCAGTTGAAAACCTTTTTCACTTGATTACCCTCGGCTGCGGGGCAGTGAAATTGCTGATGCTTGCTCAGCCCAGAGTATGTGGAGTAGGATTTGCCGCAGTCCTTGCAGTGGTAGCGTGGAACGCCGACCGGCTTTTGCGCTGACTGCGCGGATGCAACGCTGGAGGAATGTATGAGCGCGGCGGCCTTGTCGCTGGAAAACTCGCCAGCTGCTTCCAGCGCGCCCAGCGCTTCAGCGTTCCCCGAGCTGCGTATGATCTTGTAATCGGTGCTCTCAAATGCGTGCGTTTGCTGATGTTTCACCAGCCCGGCGTAGGTGGAGTAGCATTTGTTGCATTGCTGGCATTGATAGTAGAGATCGTTGTTGGTTTTTATTTTTAAAGTGTTCGGCGCATTTGGCGAGTTTGCCGCGAGTCGCTCCTCTTGCATGTCGGGCGCGTGCATCGGGTTGTTGTTGTTGTTGTTACTATTGTTACTGCTACTCATCTGCTGCATGCTAAGCAAAGCGCGCGCCACATTATGCAAGTTTATATTTTCGCGGAGCACGCCTCGCGCGGGAAAATCGTTTTTCACGCTCAAATCCTGTGGCTCGAAATCGCGCCGCTCCCCGTCATAATAGAAACTGTCCGCCGCTTCTGTATGCTGTGGTGCCGCAAGCAATGGCGCCGGTGATATGCGCCGCTGTTCTGCTTGTATGCCATAAGCCTGCGGCTGCATGCAGTCTTCATACTCAGCAATACTTTTCAGCAGATTATTGTTAAAGTTTCTAAATTCCTGCGCAGGCGCATAATTATCGATGTCCACCTCTTGCTTGATCTCGCGGCCCATAAATGCTGTATCTAGCGCTTGCGCTGTTACAGGCGGCAGCGGCGGCGTTATGCCATCGTACTGCTGTTGTTGTCGCTCTTCTAGCTCCGGCTTCGGCAACCCCTTATCGCTACATACTTCATCCTCTATTGGCAGCGGAAAATCACCGTAACCCAAACGCGCTAAGCTGCGTGCGATTTCCTCACGCGTGAAAACTTCGGGGAAGGCGCGCGCAATCTCGCGTGTCTCCTCCCAAATGCGCCGCGCGAGCTCCTCTTTGTTTTGTGTCATAGGAGCGGCGGAGTTTTCCGAAGGCGGTGGTGTGGGTAGCGGTGTTGGTTCGGAATTATCAGGCCACAGAATGGGCGCGGTGTATGGCGTTGGCGCTGGTGAAATTCTCGGCTTATGTGTAGGCGCTGCGCTAGCTGCGAGACTGAGATCAACGGGTCCCTCATCTGAAAGGCGAAGGGAGGAAAACGGAAATTAGAATATTAGGGTATACTTATTAGATAAAAATGCTGGCTGTAAATGTTTCAGAGCATGTTTGAGGAATTGAGGTTTTAAATTTTTAAATAATCTAGTCATATATCTAATAGATGAAAATTATTTTATCGGCAAATAAATATTTCGGCACATTTAAAACCAAGCGAAACAAGAATTTTCATTAGGGTCAAAACATAGTGGAGCGGCGAGCAAAGCTTCAATACAAACATGTAGGTACACTTTGCTCTTCCACATGCGCTTTCCCATTGAAAGATATGCGTTTGAGATCGACGCTTTGCTCGATGCTCTTTGCTCGCCGCTCCACTATATTTTTAGCCTTACTAATGATCAGTCATCGAAATAATATTACAACAAAGCTCCTCTGATCAATTCTGCCACAGTGATTTTGCAAATACCTACAAAAGTTGCTAAGTCATGATTTTTGGGCGTTCAAAACTTTTAAAGCTTTTGGCGCTCTACTCAGTTAAACATTTTCTATGTCGGCGCTAAGGGCCAAAGCCAAAAAGCCTAAAAATCTTGGTGTGGAGTTTTCTTAATTAATTGTTGCCCAAGCATAGAATTTTTTTTTTGATTTCGCTACGTGCTTAATATCGTCCAAATAACCGCGGCATAGTGATGGCAAATTTTATAAAATCGTACTGCATGGGCTCTTAAAGGACTATCTCCGCTCAGGTGTGCCGTCAAAACTGAGAGTTGCCGTTTATCAAAGTGCATAAGCTACTTTGACCATGCCGATGCTCTCACCAGGCAAAACTTAGTCAATTAAAAGCGCATTTGTACACGTGTAGTCTCTGGAAAAAAAATCAGTTTGATTTGCAAAAATTCCAAGGCAATCGTGAAAGTTTTCCCGACCAATTTCGATTGTATAAAGAACGATCCTAAAGCCCAGATTTCACTGTATCTAGCGAGTATGGGAAAGTTCCTTTCATGTTACACCTCCTCCATGTGTACTATCCACTTTTGACGCATCCGCGAAAATTTTAACTTGGTGTCTACTCCATAAAATACATCTCTCTCTCTCGAAAGGCTTCAGTCGGAACCAGCCTCGATACTTAAGGTTCCGTTTCTTCATTCACAAAGGCAGATTTTTATAGTTACCATAGATGATGGAGCGGACTACGACAGCCTTACTCGAAGTGCATATGGGTACGACGCTAAGCAGTGCATTCAAAAAGGCAGCGCGTATGTAAACATTTTTAGTAAATTGCACCAAAATGTAACCCCAAACAATATGACTGGCTTCTGTTCTTTTTCATATTGCGAGATTTAGCGCCAATTTGGCGACTTTTTTGGATCTTGGTGCGTAAAAATTTTTCTCTTCATTTCAATGTTCTGTGCGCTATCATGTAAATGCGTCGAAACACGTGAAAAGTGGGTAGTAGAAGTAGTTGGAGCTTCAATTTTGATGTGCCAACACTTTTTATTGTTATCGATTTTGTTGCAGTTTCATATAATAAATTTGTTAATGTGCGCGGTCCTATTGGGAAGTGTGTTCACACAAATTTTTTTTGAAGTATGTATGAATATTTTTAAAGAAAATTATTTGTACATCACTATCATTTAAGTGAGNTTTGGCGACTTTTTTGGATCTTGGTGCGTAAAAATTTTTCTCTTCATTTCAATGTTCTGTGCGCTATCATGTAAATGCGTCGAAACACGTGAAAAGTGGGTAGTAGAAGTAGTTGGAGCTTCAATTTTGATGTGCCAACGCTTTCTATTGTTATCGATTTTGTTGCAGTTTCATATAATAAATTTGTTAATTGCGCAGTCCTATTGGGAAGTGTGTTCACACAAATTTTTTTTAAAGTATGTATGAATATTTTTAAAGAAAATTATTTGTACATCACTATCATTTAAGTGATTTGTGTTATTTATTATTACACTGAAGGCATTATATCCGTTTTTGGTTTTAAAAACTATGTTATAACAACATCTCATTTTTAAAATAAAAGGTTTTTTAAGCCGATTTCATGAATTTTATAAAAAAAAAATTGAGGATTTTTGGCGATTTTTTTTCAGAAATGGCTCTTTTCTTTTTAAAAAATCTGGACACCCTTTTCTCAATACAGGACTTCCAGAATATCCTCTTGTCTCCTCTTCATCTCCTATCGCGCGGCGTTCCTCGAATCACTCTAAACAGACATTTTTCCACCCGGTTTTGGAGCAGACAATGCTGAGATAAGTCCAACTATGCTGTAATCAAGTCTGACGTTAGTAATGGCTTTTACTNTTTAAAATAAAAGGTTTTTTAAGCCGATTTCATGAATTTTATAAAAAAAAGTTTGAGGATTTTTGGCGATTTTTTTCAGAAATGGCTCTTTTCTTTTTAAAAAATCTGGACACCCTATTCTCAATACAGGACTTCCAGAATATCCTCTTGTCTCCTGTTCATCTCTTATCGCGCAGCGTTCCTCGAATCACTCTAAACAGGCATTTTTCCACTCGGTTTTGGAGGAGACAATGCTGAGATAAGTCCAACTATGCTGTAATCAAGTCTGAGGTTAGTCATGGCTTTTACCATCTGCTCGGGTGGCACATTTAAAAGCCATCTCGATATCGAAGACCACCAACTACGAAATGTTTGTTCTTAAAAACACAGACGGATTTTAATGATCAGTCCTTCATTCTAATCATGCTCTCAAAGATATTCAATAGGAAGGGAGAGATGCTGGTGGGTAAGCTTAGGAGACGCATGAGAGATCTTTTCTGCCTTAGAAACATACACTACCCATGCAGTCCTAAGAGTCTTCGGTTTGTATATATCATCATGACATCTCTACAACACTTTTCAGTTCTGCAAGAATAATTCCAACGGTTTCGGATGCAATAAGGGCTAAAAAGAGATAATCGCCTAAAGTAGGGGCCCTATATCTAGTAGTTTACCAGAAGAAATAGCTTAGTCCACTGGTTCAATGCCGGTTCACTCTCACAAGCTAAGAAGCTTAAGTGGCTTACCTCTGCTAATCGCCCAAATGCCCAGCTTACTTCTTAGAAATATCACAAGACAGCAGGGCCCGCTTGAGTCGTAAAGATTCATTTGCTGCAAAATTTACTATATTACTCTCGTTTGGGCGTATTTCTTAGAGTTTCCAATCGGAGTGTAGTCCACTGTTCCTTTCTTGCACAAAATTTCTTCTACTTGATGCCCTACGCTCATAGATCTCTATCCCATAACAACGGGCATTAGCTTTCAATGGTGCAATGACATGCTGATGGAAATTTCTACAATCAGTAATCTTTTGAGCTTTTGGTAATGCAAACGCTTTTGTGGGGAGCTTTTGGAAGTAGCTTCTGTAGTTTTCTGTCGTAATTTGTCCTCCTGAAATTCCTAATGGGAATACTTGTATGACGAACTTCGACCAAAGAAAACTCAATATGTAAACTTTTATGGTAACTAAATTAGGGTTGGGTCAGGTAAAAATTAGATTATTGAGTTTATTGGTCTAAGGAGGTAGCTTAAGTGAATGGGATAAGAATGGTAAATAAAGTACTGAATGATATATATGTATATAGCATTTTAAAATCATGTTTTAATTTTCTTAATTCTGTCTCGTTTAAGCACACGCAAAAGTCTAAAATTTTTATGACGCTTCAACGCTTTAAATGATGAATGAGATGAGTTAATTATAAAGTTTTTTTTTATAGCGACCCAGTCTAATGCATATCGTAATTATTTAATATCCAAGGCAAGAAGCATCGATTCATTCATAAAAAACGAACTTAATATACAACGGAAATGTTTAAGACATAAAATTTGTCCGCTTTAATTAATGTACAATCTTTTATAATAAAAAGATATTCGTTTAACAGCCTTTTTCTCTATCACGATAGAACACGAACGATCGTCTGCAGACGAGAAGATCTCTGATTGCGATTTTATTACTCTATCGGTCGTCTTCGTGTTGCTTTTCATATATTGGCGTTGCTATGGTCTCGGTTGCATTTAAAAAGTATAAAAAGTCTCAAAAAGTAAACCATCAAATCTGAATCTCTGGTTTGATTGACTAATGGTTCATTTCCACCAAGATTTAACTGCAGTTTATGACTTTATGGAATTGAGATTTCCACTTGTAAGGAATAATTGCTAATATTAGGTACAAGCAATCGAAAGTAAATAGTAAAAAATAAATCTTGCCGATCAAAAAATGTTAAAGATCTTTGAACTTATCAGATCTCTTAAATGCGGTTGAGCTTCTGGTGGAAATGGGCTATAAGCGAGCACTGTATCTTAAATTAATTAAGAGAATATTTAGTAGATCGTCGTAGATTATCGGGTATTTTTCCACTAGAATAAATATATGCGCGCCACCAAGCGTAATCTCTAGTTTTAAAATAACATAAAAAAAGATAATTCTTGAAATTTGTCATCTAATCAAAGGCTTTAATTGCTCCGAAAATATAAAATTATTTCAAGCTCACGGTCATACAAAAAAAAACACTCACTGTTGGAACTAATCTTCGCTCTTAAGAAAAGCTTTGCGCTTTTTATTATCACATACACATATCTCCATAAAATAATTAGTTTCAGCGATACCCAGCACTTACTCACCTTGATCCAAATAATCCACGCGTTCTGGTTGCTGCTGCCATTTCCGCTCTTCCACCGTCAACATCAGAATTGGACGCTTTTTTAGCGGACATTTGCTAAAATTGACTTTATCCATTGCCAACTTATGTGTAGAGGCACAAAAACTAATGTAATTTCGTGCGCTGAGAACTTTCACTGCTTAAACAGAGCTTTCACAGCAAAATACGCTGATCGTTTAAATCTCAGTTTCAAGCTTTCACACCTTTGCCACACATAAAATGTTTCTCAAAATAATTTCACAATTTCTCTACTTCCCTAAACAAATTCTTTAAAATCACTGCTTTTCGTTGAACATCCGTATGCCGCATCGCACGTTTCACAACTGCAGTTCCGTATACGAATGATGCAACGCGCTACGATCACTTGAAGTTTTATAACGCGCTAATACAGGGAGCATAGAAGTAGGTATATTTTTACCAACCCCCTCGGATACAAATAGCAAGCAATCAAATGTATTTTCGTGCAGTATGATCCTTCGAGAAGCACCAGCAAACCACCACCATCACCAGCAAATTCACCCCTCCCTGCATAGCACGTACAAAAAGGATATTCGTAAAGCCGCTAGGTATATGACTTGGTACCTACATGCATACTTACTTCCGATCGTCCGTTGATCCCCATTGCCTACCAGCCAGCGGGCCAGCGGGCCAGCTGGATGCAAAGCAAATCCAAACAAAAAAGCGAAAGGAATCTTTTCAACTTCATAAAATCAACCACTAACCAAGTTCATGATCAACATCATTATGAGCATTGTACAATATCCTTACCATATTGATGATCATCAACGAAGATCGCCGACGCCTGCGTCGCCGCAGCAAGCAGAGCAACGCGCTCTTAGCTACTCAACATCAACCACCATACCATCGTCACCAACGCATCTACAGCATCCACCATCAGCGGCAGGAACAGATGTGTGCGGTGTTTTGCTGCATTTGTAGCACGTGCCACATGCGCCACGCCATGCCACATTGATTATGAATACATATACACAGCATATCGGTTCGATTGCCATATTAAAGTAAAAACATTCGCAACGACAAGCAAACAGACGGACAGCCAACCAGCCAACCAGATGCATAAGTAGACTACAGACTTAATGGCTTTAGCTGTGGCTGGGGCGGTGGAGAGCAACTAAGGCAGCCAGCCGCCAACAAAAGGTAGACAGACGCATGCATGGGCGGTTAGCGGCCGTGTAACCACCGATCTTTTCGTTATTTCTCAGCGAACACTCGATCGCTCGCTCGTTCTCTCACCGCACAACGTATGCGTCGTCGATCGAATGATCGCTGTCGTTCTTTTGCTTTGCATGCTATGTATGGCTTGCCATCAACAACACCGGCATCACCACCACCACCACCACCACCACCAAGATGTATGTACCACCAGCAATCGTCGCATGTGGCGGTGCTTTTGTCAATTTGTTGTAGCTGCTGTGATTTCTTGCTGTTATTGCTGGTTTCGTAGTTGTGTAGTCACGCATAGCGATGACGATCACTGGATCAGCGAAGATCAAAATAGAGCCAGCCACGCTGTATAGCCGGTGATCAAAGTGAGCAGCTTTGGCATACGATTCGAAAACACGCATTTACGAAGAGTTGTTATTGTTTTTGTTCGGGAGCGCCACAAGCCCTGCTCGTAGAGTCGCTCACTTATGGGTGGAGTTCGCGCTCTTCGTTGCTTATATACTTAAGCCAATGCATGTTTGTGTGTGAGCTTAATTGGAGCTTACGACGACGCGCGCTACACCTGGCTTGCCGCGCTCAGTGCTCACACAGCGCCCTGATTAGAGTGAACAGGTGAGCGCTCTTCAAGCTAGTGGCTCTTAATTGTTTGGTAAAAAAGCTAGAAGAGTATTATTTGTTGACGTTGCTTAGTTGGCTAGAACTTGACGCTATGTATGTGTTGGCGCTTTTGGCGCTCTTTGTTGGCGCACATTTTTTGGGTTGGACGCTCTTAGCTCCTCCACGAGTAGTTCGTTTCATTTCCATTGCATTCTCCACTGGAAAGTTACAGTTAACTAAGAGCGCAGGTGAATTGACTGGAAAGCTTTGGCTATTGTTTTGCTTGGGGATAAGAGAACTTTAGCTAATTTGCGCATGCTTGAAAACGATAGATAGAAATAGCGACGAGCGCGAATGAAGTAATTTGGGCGGTGAACTCTTCGCTTAAGATCGACAATTTGCTGACGCTTGCCATGCATGCGCCGTTGTCGACATTAAATTTTCACAATTTTCCATTTTCTTGTGTTTATTTTTAGTATTGTCCTATTTATATGGGCAAATTTTGTCAGTTAAAAACGCGAAACCGCAAAGAATAATGTGAATCCTTTTTTACTAAGCGATGCAATATTTCTCTAAATTCCGATAATTTGCGTGATACCCGCTTGTGCTAACAAAAACTTTGAAAGTTGGATTCGTTCCCGTCACAGAAACGTTGGCATCAACTTGAGATGACGATGAACAGAAAGGCATATATTGTGAGAACTCACGCTCGGGGTGCTGCAAGAAAAATTCTTGCTCTCGAAATAGCTTTGTATGTTTTCTTATGTCAAGATATACTCATAAGGTTTCATTCCGATAGCAGACTTTTGAAAAGTTCGACTACCGCCCTTAGTGTTGTTGTTGTCTGAAATCTTTACAATATATTGTAGAATCCAAAAGAAAAACGGCCGAGACATATGAAGCCGAACAGCTAAAATATGTACGCTTGCAAACTATCGGCTCAAAAGCTTCGACGATACAGCTTGTACTTCTAAAATTCTACTTAGTTCGGGTACTCACGCATACCATCAGCATAAAAGGCCCGCTAATAATCAAAATATAACGGTGATCCTCACTTACATATGCGTCAATCCATGTCAAATTTACCAATGGCTGTAATAGACCATTTTCAATTTGGATGAATTTTGGTCAGAACCTCTTTTTTATCATATAAAAAGGAAAAAAATATATACTTTTTTTCGAAAGTTCAAAATTTTAAAATTTTCCGAATTTTGCAAGTTTACATATGTTTCGAATACCTCAGAAACTATTATTTAAAACAAAAATCTTCTGGTTCGTTTTATGTTGATATTTATAAAAAAAAATTCAAAATAAAATTGAAAAGAAACTCAGATTTTTTAATTCACAAAAAGTAAAAACTTATTTATTTTTTACGCAATACCTCTAATTTACTTTAATAGATCCCGAAATTTCCAATTTCCATTTCTTTTCTGTCTTTCGAAAGACTAATTGAAAGAACTGCTAGCGAGGAGGTCCTAGCGTTTTTCTGTTTGTCTTTTAGCAATTAGTTTTCCACCAATTAAATTATATAAAAATAATATATACATAAATACATACATATTTTTCTTGTTACAACAATAAGAACTAAAAACTAAAAGAAAATTAAATTAAAAAATAAATAAAAGTAAATTAAATAAGTTTCTGCAAATTTAATGACTTTGAAAGCTTTTATTTATTAATTTATGTAATCAAAAAATAAATGAAAATTTAATTAAAAAAAAAAATATATATATATAAAATAAAATTTGTTCCTAAAAATTTTAAAGAACTGCTTTTCTGTTTGTCTTTAGGCAACCAGCTTTTTAAAAATTAAATGAAATTAAAAATATATATATTTTCTTATTGTTAAAACAATAATAACTAGAAACTAAAATAAATTAAACAAGTCTCCACAAATTAGATGAAATTGAAAAAATATATATTTTTAAAACAACGCATATTCTAAAAGGAAATAAAATCTAATTAAAGAAAGAAAAAAATGTATCAAAAATATGTTCCTAAAATTTTAATGGCAGTTAAAAAAAGTATTTTCCTTTTAAAATTTTTTAATTTAAAAATTAAAAAGAAATAATTAATTTAAAGAAAGAACAAAAATATACCTCGACCTTGGATCTCTCAAATCGCACGTCAGTGCAATGCTCACTCGGCCATTGCGAATATAGGAGCGCAAGCAGAATTATATAAAAGCGCTTTCTGTCACAAAAGAGCTTTTCACCTGAAAAACTGACAAAGAAGCTTTTTTGTAAGATTTTCGTGGCAGAATAAAAAAATCTTCAATTTATCTTACCTAACGTCTTTCAATTGCCTTACAAAAAACTTTCACCCATCTTAGCCAGAATTGCCCTTTAAGGTCATAAAAGCGCAAATAAAGCTCCGTCCAATCAAAAAATGTATAGAAGCTTAAAGCGCTGCCCAAATATATAAGTTTTAGCAGCCTTTAACATCCTTTTCATTTAATAATAAATTATTTACTTATATGAAAGATTTGCCTGCGATTTGTATTCTCTTGATTTAATGACAATGGAAATTATAATAAAATATATATTATTGGCACTTCAAACATATGCATCAACTGATAAATGTATGTAGATACATATGTGTGCACGAAAAAAAGATAACATCGTTAAGTGCACCCTTTGTCTTGCAGCCCCCGCAGAGCAAGCTGCAGCTGAAATTTTCGCTTTAACACGAGACATAATATCCACTTTCAACTGCATATGAAATTAAAAAATGCACACCAAGTAAAGATGCGAACACAACGAGTATAAATAATCAAAATAGCATTTGTGATAATCAAGAAGCCGTAGAACAAGAATATGAAAAACTACAAACTCCTTAAATACATAGCCTACAAGTTTGAAAATGTCAAATAAGCAACATGCATACAGACATACATATTCACATACCCTTGCACACATGAACGCGCGCTCAAATAACAAAAAAACAAAAACATTTGCGGCATCCAGCTGCCACCCCAAAGTGAAACGAGTAGCACAGTAGCGCATGCGCCACCGGTTAAAGTGAAATTTTCACACACTCGGATACAAACAAGCATCCGACATACTCGTTTACATACTTACATATGTATATAAGAGGTATATGTATACATATTTACAATCACGGTGCGTCTTTGATTCACCATCCATCAGTCAGTCATACAACGCACCCTACGCACTTTACCTGGCGCGCATAGACCGACCGAAACGCCGCACAGAAGGTATTTGCAAAACTACCTGGCGCTAAGTTTAGGGCGACTGGCATAGAGCCGAGGCACAGGACATGCGACCGACGACCACCTTTGACAGCCCGAGTATATTTATGTAGAGTGCAGACTGCAGCTTGCATTATTGCAATGGCATCCCCTTTTTGCTGCTGGTTAGTTTACTTTCCATGGCAGGCTGTGATTGTCGGCAACCCTTATTTTATTGTACAAAAACATTGACAAGCTAGCGATGATCGTCTGATTTCTGCATTTCATCCGCACTCAATTTCCATGCTCCATATGCCTCCATCGTTAAAGATTTGCCACGCTACATTTTATATTAC